AAATCTAAAACATTATAATAATGAGTTCATTTTTGGATGATAATGATTAACTTATATAAACAAAGCTATGATGAGTTCGTGCAATTTTTCAAATATAATGAACTTTCGTTTAAAGGACATACAAGATCTCATCTTATGCGTTTCTTTCGACAACTCGTGGTAATCATCAAATCAAGTACATGAGGAAAATAATAAATATATTTATTTATTTAAAAAAATGAGAAGCATTACGCTAGTGTTTTTCATTAGACATATATTGTATCGGGTCTGCCAATCCTAATGATAAGTACCAAACTCGGAATACTTTATCAATTGTGAAATTATCGTGATAAATATGACATGCATGAAATTTTCATATAGCACCTCAATATAGACCAAACTCGTGGTGAATATTAAGTTCATTTCCGACACATCGCGAAGAAAATATTGCACATTAATCCGAGCCATTACATTTTTAATGATCTCATGACTCTAATAATTAACTTCAATGATCTATGAAACACCCACCTTTTATTTTGGATGAATTATGAGACCCAACTCAACCTAAGCAACTAAATTGTTAGATCAGATGAACCATCACAAGTAAAAAGGATACATAAAAGAATGTATAAGAAGAAAAAGATAGTGCCTCTTATTACTTGTACTACAAAGATAAAGAGGAAAAAATCCCAAAGTACACTAGTTTTTAAAAAAAATTCCCAAAATACATAAGTTATAAAAAAAATTCCAAAAGTACACATGTTTGGGCATCACCGTGTTTGACAAAAGCGGTGAAGTTTATCACCGCGTTTGTCAAAGACGGTGAATACTTCACCGTTTAAGACCAAAACGGTGACGTATTCACCGCTTTAACCTAAAACGGTGATATATTCACCGCATTGGTGGGAAACGGTGAATACATCACCGTTTATGTTGACAACGGTGATTATCTTCACCGTTTTAGGTTAAAGCGGTGATATATTCCCACGTTTCCCACCCCTGGTAGGTCAAAAGTAGGTCACACCTACCTATTATTCACCGTTTGAGACAAACGCGGTGATGGTGTTCACCGTGTTTGTCTCAAACGGTGAATAGTAGCAAATTTTCCTATAAATACCCACCCACCAGCCGAAGCAAAAACTTACCACTCCCCCCTTCTTCAAATTTCAGCAACAAAAATCGAGCATAATACACAGAAGAGACATTTTTCGGTATGTTGAGACTTTTCGTATTATTGTCTAATTATGTTTTTAGTAGTTATAGTATGATTAAATTTTCGTATTATGTTGTTGTTAGTTAGTTGAATTTATGTTCGTTAGTTAGTTGAATTTATGTTCGTTAGTTATAGTATGATTTAATTTTCGTATTATGTTGTTGTTAGTTAGTTGAATTTATTTTCGTTAGTTATGAGATGGACAATATAGTATGATTTAATTTTCGTATTATGTTGTTGTTAGTTTGGTTAATTTTACTGTCTTTAAGCTAATATATACTTATCCTCGATTTGTAGATATGGGTAAATTCAAGAAGTTTCATCTTAATATTCGGTGGAATGGAAGGGTGACAAACTCTAACATAGGCATTGATTATGAGGACGGCGAATCCATTATGCTGAACATTGGTTCCCGATTCAATTTTCAAGAACTCTGTGATCTTTGTGCAGAAAGGGTTTGTACGAGCGGACATACGAGAATTGGCAGAATTACTTACCGGTATCCAGACATGAGTGCTGGCGGGGTCGTGTACCAAGAAGTTGTCATAAACGATGATGACGCGGTTACGATGATGTTACAGTTCCTAAGCGATAACCAAGTCCGGCTTGCAGAGGTGTATGTTGAGACCGAGGCGGTCGGTGAATCTCATTCTCACCAGTATTCTTATGATGATGGTTTTGCAGGAGGGTACGAATGGGGTGGTAGTTCGAGCAACTACCAAGGCGGTGGTTATACAGGAGGTTACGGGGAGGGTGGTAGTTCGAGCAACTAGTCAAACGCGGTGAACTCACCGTTGTCAACAAACGCGGTGAAAGCCCAGGGGACGTGGCGTGTTGTGAGGCGTCAGATCGTGGGAAGAAAACCACGATCCGCGCCTCACCGCATCCAACGGCCACGGTGATAGCAAATTGGCCCGGATTGCTGACGTAAACAAACACGGGGTATTGACCGTGTTTGTCTAACGCGGTGAATACCCCGCGTTTGTCCACGTCAGCTCCTTCACCGCGTTTAATAAAAACGGTGAAGTCTTCACCGTTTCTGTTTAAAACGGTGAAGACTTCACCGTTTTCATTAAACGCGGTGAAGGCGTCACCGTTTTTATTTAAAACGGTGAAATGTTCACCGTTTTAATCAAACGCGGTGAATACCTTCACTGCGTTTGTCAAAAACGGTGAATGTCAAACATGTGTACTTTGGGAATTTTTTTTATAACTTATGTATTTTGGGAATTTTTTTTAATAACGTGTGTACAGTGGGATTTTTTCCAGATAAAGACACATATAGTGTCCTATTCATTCTTAGTGGGGAGTGGTAGTACTCCTTCAACTTTTACCACCCAAAAGACATTTGTAGCTGCAATAATCAGCAAATGGCTGATATTTGGTCCAAAAAGGAAGTAAAATTAAGTGCCTCAAATGCTATTAAAAAGACCCCTTAACCTCATTACTTCAATTGGGCAAGTGCCCTTTAAACACCTTTTAACGATTCATTAAGCTTTTTTGCTTTGGATCCCTGGATTTAAGGGTATGAACATAGAATGTCCTTCTAATTATAGGGCAACATACCCTGTATAGTTTAGGACCGACGTACTATCTTCTTTTTCCCAAAACAGCTCACTCTATAATTAGGTCAGCTTCTATGAGTTTGTTTGTTGGATCTTATCTCGCACTCAATGCGGATAAGAATTAATTGATCCCGATAATTCAAGTTATTAGAAAATGTTGCTGAGTAAATCTTATACCATTTCCTTATATTCTTTCTCAAACGAAAATCAGTCTATGAACTTGATCTTCAAAATGTGTGTTTAATTTCAATTATCAGGTAGTTTTAATTAAGCGAGTTGCTTGTAAAGGTTATGAAATAATCCCATATCATTTTCTTACAAATGCCACCTTGTATCGATGGAGGAAATTCTCAACTTCCACTTAGATTATCTCCCTTCATATTAGTAAGTTAGTATATGATTTATAATTGGAGAACTCCCAATAACTCGTGTTATTGGGATCAATTGGTTCTTCACACGGTATCAGAGTCTTCTGTCTTCTGTTCAAATCTCGTGGAATGCCATTTATTAAGTATATAATGTTCGGATTTGTGCAAACTTCAAACTCATATACATTGACATTGACTTTTGTTTGAGGGGTGTGTTAGTAAGTGATATATGATTGATAATTGAATATCTCCCAACAACTAAAATTATCGGAATCACTAAACTGATAGCTTAAATATATAAACCAGTAGTTTAGTGACCATCATATATGCATATAGAGTCACTCTCTCACTGCATTATTATATTATGCTTCCCTTCTGTCGCATTGTAATAAACGTGAAGGATGAACAAAAGGAACGCCACTAGTCAATTACTTAAAGCTTCGTCTTGAACTAGGTTTAATATAATTTAGGTGGCCTTATAAAAAAAATAATTTAGGTGGCTAATCAAGCACATCAATAGATAATTGGTCATTAGCCATTCCATTAGTGTAGCAAAACATTCCTAGTCTGCAAATTAGAGTCTAGAGGAATGTTGTTTTAGAATATAATCACATGCTTTCGAGCTCATATTCCTTGGATTGAACCCATGACTACTATAATCATAATTAACACAAAGATGAAAAAGCAACAAAGAGTCTAAGTATGACCTAGTTCATACTAGTTCTGATATCGTTTTATAGCAAATATGGATTTTGAAGGACAAGAAGTTTGGTCTAGTGGGTTAAGAAAATTTTCGTTGTTGAAGAAGGTCAAGGTCAACAAACATGTTGTATTTAGTATTGTTCAAGGAGAAAATAAAGTTAACTGAAACATAGGGGAAAACAGAAAGCTTATTCTAGGAAACACATATAGGTCCTTCCATCAATCCCATCAAAGACGTGAAAATCTTCAGTGCATCAATGTTAGTGAAAATTATTGTACAAATACATCATTTTCTCTACTGAATACCCAATAGAATTACAACTAGTTATTAGTTAACATGTAGCCCCCCAGTGGCAACTGAAGGAAATTCACAGTAAAAATAAAATAAATTCTCTACAATATTAAACTATATTGGATTCATCTATTTGTAAGGTAGTTTTGCCAACTTGCAACCTTTGGCAGCACCTTGATCTCTTCACGTGAACTGGTTTTTCTCTCTACCTAGCCAGCCAGTCCTTTTCATTTCCTTCTTTTTTCATTTTTTTTGGTTAGGGCACAATAGTCCTAAAACAAAAGAGAATGAGGAACCAAAACTTTGGATCGAAATTGATCGATACGAATTTGATCGAGTGATTATGGAACTAGATTTTATACTCTCATAGCCATAAACAAACACCAGACTTCAAATCATGTGATTAACAAATGAGCTCACAGTTCTCTTGCCTGCCCATAGATTCTGCAACACTTTGAAAGGTTGACCTATTCGGGAATCTCCGGATCTACGCTTATTTTCAACTCCCCGAAGCATTTCGTCGCTTACTACGCCCTTCCTCGTTTGTGGGTGCCTAGGGATCCCCGAGCTCACCAAATATTACATTACACGCTGAATTCAAACCATTTTTAACCAAGAATTAGTGAAATGGGATACCATCATATTTTCCCAACTTCCTTTTTCACTCTCTCTCTCTCTCTTCCTCACTCTCTAAAATCTAGTATATATAAACACATGCACTCACTCCCTCTCATTGTACACCAACCCTCTCCATTATTCCTTCATTCACCAGGAGAAAACCCCATAACCCCAAAAAATGGAGACCTCCAAATCCTCAGCTCTCCTCCTAATCTTCATGCTCTTCCTCTCCTCCGCCACTCCCATCCTCTCCTGCGGCCACTGCGGCGGGAAACCTCACCCCAAGCCCAAGCCCAAGCCCAAATCCCCTTCCAAGGGCGGCCCAATCCACCTCCCAAAAGTCCCGCCGGTTACCGTCCCCAAACTCCCCCTCCCACCGGTCACCGTCCCCACCGTCCCACTCCCCAAGCTCCCCGTCCCTCCGGTCACCGTCCCCACCGTCCCCATCCCCAAGCTCCCCGTCCCTCCGGTCACCGTCCCCAACGTCCCAATCCCCAAGCTCCCCGTCCCTCCGGTCACCGTCCCCACCGTCCCCATCCCCAAGCTTCCCGTCCCCAACCTACCCATTCCTCCGGTGACCGGCGGGTCCAAGTCGCCGCCGGCCGCCTGCCCGCCGCCGCCGGCGAAGAAGGAAACCTGCCCAATCGATGTCCTGAAGCTGGGAGCCTGCGTGGACCTGCTCGGCGGGATCGTCCACATCGGGCTCGGGGATCCGGTGGTGAACAAGTGCTGCCCGGTGCTCGCCGGACTCGTGGAAGTCGAGGCCGCCGTTTGCCTTTGCACTACGCTGAAGATCAAGGCGTTGAACTTGAACATCTACGTGCCTCTGGCTCTTGAGTTGCTCATTACTTGCGGGAAGTCGCCTCCTCCTGGCTACACTTGCTCCCTTTAGGGTTTCGAAGGTATGTATACCCTACAAGTTTCGGTACAATGATGATAACCCAAAATTTTCTAGGGGGTACGTAACGTATATGTGGTCCATATAAAATATTTCCTTATTCACTGAATTTTCAGGGATATATGAATAATTTATGGATGTTGGCAGTTTTTAGGGATATATATATATATATCTATAGGAAATTTTTTGATAGCATTGTCATATGGGGTTTCGAAGAAATATGTACGATTATATTCGTGAACCCATAAGTATCCAGGAACCTGTTGGGTTTGATTGGATTTTCATTTTTAAAACTCAATGAGTATTTTACTGGATTTTTTAATTGGTGCATCCGCTGGATTGGGTTTGAGTTAAGAGAAACTCGACCCGTTTCCTTCCCTACTCCCTTCAAATCCCAAATTCTAGTTAGAAATACACATATAACTTTTCAGAATGAAGATCAACTGTAGAACTACTAGATTAAGCCGCTAAGATATTTATGTATTATAATATATGGTTTTCATGCATATGGTGATAGTAGTTCTCTGTTTATGATAATGCAGCCGCTGCAGGCAGCTGATGAAGGTAGTGACATGGATGGATGATTGAATTACTCGACATGAGAGGATGTCGGGCATTCTCTCTCTTAATTTATCTATTCTCTCTCTCTCTCTCTATGGTTTTTCTTCTCTCTCTATTTTCATTATTATGGCAAAGGGGGTGTGGTTGTATTTCGAATGGGGTTTTGAATTGGCATTGAAGATGTTTGGATTCTAATGGTGTGTAGACCATTTGTTGTTATATGATTTGTTTGTTTGCATGGTGTGTGTGGGGTTTTGGTCTGTCTTAGAGAAGCAATTTGAACCAAGAGAGGACGACACATCTTTCTCCATCTTCCTTGTCTTTGTGTATTGATTGTCACGATACAAAAGAAACGGAACATCTATCGTGTTAGATTCTCATCAAGATAAACTATGAGCAAGGAGTTGAACACAAAAGTCGACATGCTTTTCCGAGCACATCACGAAAAGTTGTACTAAGTTTCCAAAAAACTTTGATAGTGATATCTTATTTTCGATTGTTAAGAGTCAAGTCTGAAATCTTTAATTATTTCGATCGATCTATAGAAAAGTACAATTAACAACGGTAAAAGGATTGGTTTCAACGTCCTGTTTTCTATTGTTACATATTTCTGGAGCGATGACTGTAGAATTCATTTTTCGGGCCCTGATAGTTAGCCATGCATCAATACACATTAAAATAACAATTTGAGATGTGAAAAAAAAAACTGTTGATTAGTCCATTTTCCTTATCTCTCACGCAATCCTTCTTCTGCTACTTACTTCTTAGCAATCTCAACAAGAGCATAACATTACAAATCCTCAAATGGTGTTGGCTCTTCTTTGAGAATCGAAACAACAATGGCACAGTGATTTGTAAGAGGTGACTTTGGAATAGTTATTACTAATTTTCATGGACATAGTTGTGATGAAAATGCTGGTAGAATTGTTCGTCTTTGATTGAGGTAAATGCTCATGCTCTCTTGAAACCGTGTTGACTAGCAGATACTGACAATCATCGGCGGATCCAAGACATAGTAGAGCATTGGACAACATTTAAATGGAATATTAGATATCGTAAACAAAAATATATAATAACTATAGTTTACATTATAATGCCAATTGTACAAGACGGTCTTTTAATTTAGCAAATGCAACAATAATAGTATCACCATCCATACCAATAGCATACTCTTTCTCAAGGACGAAGAAGACGATTTAAGAGAACATATATCACAAAAAAAAAAATTGGTCTAGAGGTAATACCACTAGTCTTGAACCTGGAGGTATGAGAATCAAGTCCCTTAAATAGTATCTAATCACAAAAAAAACATATATTACCCTTATCTAAAAACGTAGCACACAAGAAATCCGTAGCTTTTTTCTTTTCCCCCCATTTTTTGAAGTAATTTTATACTTCAAAAAATTCAAGTCTAACCAAACACCTCTACATGTTCGACTTTTGAAAAAAAAGATTATTCTTTTAGATTTTTAGTTTTTTTCAACAAAACATATTTTTTCTCATTTGAAAAACTCTTCTCATTTGCCTTGCTCGGAACTTTCCTAGTAGTAGTAAGTTGTTGGATCTTCAATCTTTTGAACACGTAGCACACAAGCAATAAGTAGCTTTTTTCTTTTTTCCTCCATTTTTTATAAGTAATTTTATACTTCAAAAATTTGAAATCTAGTCAAACATCTCTACACTTTTAAAAAAAAAGATTATTCTTTTAGTTTTTTAGTTTTTTTCCACAAAACATATTTTCTCTCATTTGAAGGACTCTTCTCATTTACCTTGCTCAAAACCAATTGTTCTAAAAAAATTTCATTCTAGTCTAGCTAGCGGGTAAAATCTAGTGTTGATGGATTTTCGTTGGGTGCGGGTTTTATCAGTTTTTGAAATTGACGGGTTGGGTCGGGTTTAGTTTTTGTCCAAAATCAACCCCGCTTTGTGCCCGATGCATGCTCATAAAGTAGAAATGATGTCATTTTGTATCTAATCAGAATAATATGAATGATTAATGTGTGTTATTAGTGTATATGACAAGATAAACCTAATAATATGAATAATTTATGGATGTTGGCAGTTTTTAGGGATATATATATATATCTATAGGAAATTTTTTGATAGCATTGTCATATGGGGTTTCGAAGAAATATGTACGATTATATTCGTGAACCCATAAGCATCCAGGAACCTGTTGGGTTTGATTGGATTTTCATTTTTAAAACTCAATGAGTATTTTACTGGATTTTTTAATTGGTGCATCCGCTGGATTGGGTTTGAGTTTAGAGAAACTCGACCCGTTTCCTTCCCTACTCCCTTCAAATCCCAAATTCTAGTTAGAAATACACATATAACTTTTCAGAATGAAGATCAACTGTAGAACTACTAGATTAAGCCGCTAAGATATTTATGTATTATAATATATGGTTTTCATGCATATGGTGATCTCTGTTTATGATAATGCAGCCGCTGCAGGCAGCTGATGAAGGTAGTGACATGGATGGATGATTGAATTACTCGACATGAGAGGATGTCGGGCATTCTCTCTCTTAATTTATCTATTCTCTCTCTCTCTATGGTTTTTTTCTCTCTTTTTCATTATTATGGCAAAGGGTGTGGTTGTATTTCGAATGGGGTTTTGAATTGGCATTGAAGATGTTTGGATTCTAATAGTGTGTAGACCATTTGTTGTTATATGATTTGTTTGTTTGCATGGTGTGTGTGGGGTTTTGGTCTGTCTTAGAGAAGCAATTTGAACCAAGAGAGGACGACACATCTTTCTCCATCTTCCTTGTCTTTGTGTATCTGATTGTCACGATACAAAAGAAACGGAACATCTATCGTGTTAGATTCTCATCAAGATAAACTATGAGCAAGGAGTTGAACACAAAAGTCGACATGCTTTTCCGAGCACATCACGAAAAGTTGTACTAAGTTTCCAAAAACTTTGATAGTGATATCTTATTTTCGATTGTTAAGAGTCAAGTCTGAAATCTTTAATTATTTCGATCGATCTATAGAAAAGTACAATTAACAACGGTAAAAGGATTGGTTTCAACGTCCTGTTTTCTATTGTTACATATTTCTGGAACGATGACTGTAGAATTCATTTTTCGGGCCCTGATAGTTAGCCATGCATCAATACACATTAAAATAACAATTTGAGATGTGAAAAAAACTGTTGATTAGTCCATTTTCCTTATCTCTCACGCAATCCTTCTTCTGCTACTTACTTCTTAGCAATCTCAATAAGAGCATAACATTACAAATCCTCAAATGGTGTTGGCTCTTCTTTGAGAATCGAAACAACAATGGCACAGTGATTTGTAAGAGGTGACTTTGGAATAGTTATTACTAATTTTCATGGACATAGTTGTGATGAAAATGCTGGTAGAATTGTTCGTCTTTGATTGAGGTAAATGCTCATGCTCTCTTGAAACCGTGTTGACTAGCAGATACTGACAATCATCGGCGGATCCAAGACATAGTAGAGCATTGGACAACATTTAAATGGAATATTAGATACCGTAAACAAAATATATAATAACTATAGTTTACATTATAATGCCAATTGTACAAGACGGTCTTTTAATTTAGCAAATCCAACAAAAATAGTATCACCATCCATACCAATAGCATACTCTTTCTCAAGGACGAAGAAGACGATTTAAGAGAACATATATCACAAAAAAAAATAAGATTGGTCTAGAGGTAATACCACTAGTCTTGAACCTGGAGGTATGAGAATCAAGTCCCTTAAATAGTATCTAATCACAAAAAAAAACATATATTACCCTTATCTAAAAACGTAGCACACAAGCAATCCGTAGCTTTTTTCTTTTCCCCCCATTTTTTGAAGTAATTTTATACTTCAAAAAATTCAAGTCTAACCAAACACCTCTACATGTTCGACTTTTGAAAAAAAAGATTATTCTTTTAGATTTTTAGTTTTTTTCAACAAAACATATTTTTTCTCATTTGAAAAACTCTTCTCATTTGCCTTGCTCGGAACTTTCCTAGTAGTAGTAAGTTGTTGGATCTTCAATCTTTTGAACACGTAGCACACAAGCAATAAGTAGCTTTTTTCTTTTTTCCTCCATTTTTTATAAGTAATTTATACTTCAAAAATTTGAAATCTAGTCAAACATCTCTACACTTAAAAAAAAAAGATTATTCTTTTAGTTTTTTAGTTTTTTTCCACAAAACATATTTTCTCTCATTTGAAGGACTCTTCTCATTTACCTTGCTCAAAACTTACCTAGTAAGTTGTTGGATCTTCAATCTTTTGCTAATGATCTTCATGTGTAAAAAAACAGTAGTTACATCTATATTCATCCATGCATGGATGAAAATCTTTAAACTAAGAATATGCTAGACATGAGCTTATGTATTAATAACTATGACTAGCTAGATATACTTAAGTTACAAAGTAGTAATGACTCCGTTTTGCTCCTACAACACATTGTCAAGCTGCTTTTGAGGGTTTTAACGAGTGTCAAGGAGCTTTGTGGATGGGTCGGGTGGGGGCCAAAGTGCTTCGTGTTTTCAGTTTGGTTGAGAAGAATTGGACTCTCAGATACACTGTCGACGTCCAAGTTTACATGATGTACAAGTCTAGCTCAGCAAGAGAAACTTTGTTGTATTCACCAAATGAGTTGCATTTTCGGTGTATGCATCCACATGATGTGAGGGTGTCATATGTGACTTTGAAGAAGTTTGTGTTGCAGTGCAACATGGATGTTCACAGTCATAGCAGAGTATAAGAAGAACGTGGGGTGGAGCAATGTTTTGCCGTTTCAGCTTCTTCATTGGCCTACAACTTGTCCTATGCTGGGACCTCTTGAGGGATAATAGGTAGATAGAGGGAAAAGAAATGGAGGTAGTTCATATTTAAAAACTAGAAATTTGTGTCTGAAAAATTGTATGTACTTGTGTTTTCGTGATGACTTTTGACGGAGTCATGTATAGTTCTGAGTGCAATAAATAGGGCTCCATAGGTGTCTCTGCAGCTTTTCAATTTGATTTCCCTCCAAGTTCAAAGCTCGTCAGTCCAAGTCGCTCTCTCTCTCTCTCTCTCTCTCTCTCTCTCTCTCCTTTCTCTGAAACGGGTCAGACCTTTGCTATCTTGCTCGCCCAATTTCTGACTACCTCCTATCCCGACTCCATGAAAGGTTCTACTCTTTTTTCTGTTATGATTTCTCATTTTCACATTGGACTTTGATCTCCCAAAACTGGAAGCAATTCTCTTTTGTTTATCACTTCTCTATGTTTTTCGTTTTTTCCTGTGTTGGCTCTAAAAATAAGTTTTTCCTTAACTAAATAATTTGACAAGCTAAAGGAAGTATTATCACTTTTCATCGTCCCCATTAATTATTACATTTTTTATTTTAAAATTATTTAAGAAATAAAAACCTTAAGAATAATAATCTTTATTACAATTTTATAAGTATTTGATTAGAGCTATCCACTTAGCACATTCTCTCATTAATTTTCAATACCCTAACACTACTTAATGATATGTATATTTTTCATTTCAATTTAAAATTTATATATTTTGGCATAGAAAACTATATTTAATGTGATTTGCAAAATATTTATTCATATATATTATATTAAAAAAAGTATCCTTCTAAAACATGGTCACATTCACGTATTCGGTTTCTTTACATTAATGATACATAAGTACACCAAAATAGTATGAAATTTGTACAATCTTTGTATATTTGTGTACCCTATCGTTACTAAATGGTGTGCGTCTC